CTAAGTCCTTTGAGTCGCCTTTCCATGCCAGTGTAGGACACTCCTTCCGGAGGCCGTGCAAGCCCCTCAGGTCAGGAAGGTTAGTGCCTATGGTGGTTGGCTTTGTGGTTGCGTGTCCTAGGGCACCTTGGTCAAAATCGACTTCGAAAAGACCTGCCTCTAATGCATATGCACGCCACAAGTTTGTGTGCCAAAACGAGGGAACCTCACCAACCAACGAATGGCCAACAGGAAGATAGCGATCAACAGGCTGAGGTTGCTCAAGTAAGAATGCCACCTGCGACGAATGGTGCACGGACTGACGATGGACACGCCTTCCGGCTGTCGCTGTTGCACGCAAGAACAACATCCGAGCAAACAGCCCCGTGTCATTGTTCACCAACGCACGCTCACTAGCACTGAGATCGCTCAACCCATACGGCTCACTAGGGGACCTCACTGGCCTTGGGCCTCCAGGTTTATGCCGGAGAACAGACATAGTGCGACAAGGAGGGCCACCAATCACTGCTGCAATGCGCCCATCCTTCGCCGCTTTAAGCAGGAGTGCCCAAAGTGAAAGACGGTTCAAATCATGCGCCGCGCACTGGGTCACATCAAGCTCCAACACAACTGTGCCATCACGCTCAAGCCGTGCAAAGGTCTTATGAGGGCGCGGGCCTGCAAACAAGTGGACAATCCAATGCCTTGACTGCTGTAGCGCCTTCCTCCTCCTCCTGTTGAGGTTGGGCAAAGCACTGCGCAACATGTCCCACAATGACTCGTCGCCCGCATCACCTGAAGGGACCAAACCTCGCAACGCACAACGGGGAACATCAGTGAAGAACGGTGCATTTGCAACAGCGGCGTCACCTGAGCAGGAAACGCCATCACGGGCGTAGTCCATCAAGTGCTCCCACCAGCTCTTCTCAAGTGCAATCCTGGCCTGACGAATCCTGTCCCTGCCTTCCTCGGTGTGGCGCTTGAGCTGCTCAATTTCCGCCAGCTTTCTCTCCTCTAAGCGCGAAATCAACTCCAACGCCTTGGACTGCACAAGTTCCGGGCAACCATTGCGGACACGAAGCTTCAACTTCCGCCCGTCAGGGTGAAGGAGTTTGCAGCTGCCTGCGGACCACATAAGGGTGTAACCAAGTTGCTCCACAATTGCGCCCATGGGCACAATGGTTTGCGCGGAGCCATCCCTCCCGGGAGGCAAAGGCAGAGTGCCACTAGCAGTGAGTCTCATAGACGTGGTGTTCTCCCCCGCCAAACTCACCACCACTTGCGTAGCCTGCTCCCACTCCTCCTGGGATGACGCTGCCCTCATGGCGTGCGTGGCACCCGAGTCCACTAAGGCTAACAACTCCCCACCATCCCCAACCTCTAAGGATTGCACGTGCAGCACGGACGTTTCGGGGGAGCTCCTAGCTGGCTTTTCCTCACCCAAACCAAGGACTGCAAGGCGCTTGAGGGATGCATTTGGATGGGTTTGGGACGTGTTGTTTGACGGTTGCGCTTCACTCGTGCCCGGGCTCACCTCCACCTGCCTCAAAGCCTTCACTGCCTCTTGCATAAAGGACTCTAGCGTAACAGGTTGACCATTCATGGTGATGGGCGTGGCCTGCACTGGCACCTGTGATGAAGCTGAAGCTGGAGGCGATGCATCCTGTCCTCCCACTCCTCCTGGGCCCGATGCCTGCGGGGTGGTTTTGCGCATCGTGGGCTGCTCATGCGTTTTGGCCACAGGTTTTGAACCCTTACCTAATGGGCAGTCCTTTGCACGGTGTTCCTCAGAACCACACACCAGGCACTTCTTGAAACGCTCAGCTTTCGAGAGCTCGGTCATGGAATGAGGGAACTTGCATTTGGGACCATTCCTGCAACCCTTTGGCGAGAGAAAGAACTTACATGGCTTACCACCTGCTCCTCCAGCACCCTTCCCCAGAGGTTGGTTTCCACCACCTGATGCTTCGGCTGCGGCATTTAATGCCTGGACCTTAGGATCTACCTTCTTAGGGTCTACCCCACCGGCCATAGTTTCAAACTCAGCCAACAAATGCTTGTGGTAGTCTAAAACCTCATCTCCCGACGGGTGAAGGTCAATGTGCAGTGCGCTGCGTACCACCTGAGTGCGAAACTGCACGTCTGGATTCCTGGCGATGTGCTGCGACGTCACAGTGGTCAACCCACGGGCCAAGATGGAGGGATCAGGAGCAACCATGCCACATTCCAAACAACGGCGATGCCAACGACCCCAAGACCTCAGCAAACTCACTCCAGCAACCACGTCCTTAAACGGTGGTGGATCATGCAGGTTCCTGAGTATCAGGTCGCGCTCGTTGGTCCCACCTGGCTGGTAAATCGTATGTAGGCGAAACATGATGTGTGCTGCATTTTGCGTGGCTCTGCGTGCTACAATGTCGGCTTTCACGGACGCGTCCAACGAATCCAACAACATGGCACATGCTCTGGCATTCACACGCGACCACTTGCCCTCAACAATCTCCGTCCTGTCATCCGGGCCCACTCTCAACCGCTCCACGGGGGACGAAATGCTCCAACGGGCAAAGGCATCACGCGCTAACTGCAACACGCTTGTCCACCAAAGCTGCGATGAATCCGACACATCACTCATCACAATCCACCAACCAACTCAAGCCAATCCTGAAACTCCAACGACCCACCTGACGGGTTGGGGGCAACAAGTTTGGGCAGTGTTGTGATGCCTGGTTTCACTGCTTCAGGGGCATCGTCACCTTTGACCTTGAGCTGATGAGCTTGCAAGCTTTGCAGCTGCTGCACCCCTAAAACCAGTGCATCCACTACGGAACTTGGCACCTCACGCGTGGCGGGCTGCTCATGTGGAGCTGCAGCGGCGGCTGAAACCTGAGGACCTTGAGTGTCGGGCACCTGCCCGACCCTCCCGGGTGGCGTTTGGCCTGCGGTGCTGGCCAAAAACCGCCTGAAACCTGAGGAGTTGCTGGAATCTGCCACAAACCCAGGTTCTCGGGCCGAGAATGTGGACTTGTGCTGGAATTGGCATCTGCCCCAGACCTGGGGTTTCGGGCTGGAAAGTGGGGTCTGGGCCAGAAGAGGCCCTGTGAGTACCTGGCACCTGTGCATCTTGAGCAGTACCTGGCACCTGTGCAACCTGGGCAGATTGAGCCATGGGCTCACGCACATGCCCAGCCCTTCCGGGTGGGGTTGCATTGCTGGGCAACCTTTGCGAACCCTGCAAACCCGACCACAAATTAGACCACAACCCTGATGCAGACGCAGGCGCCCTCAACGCGTCCATCACCTGCAAGGTGGCATCCTGCACCTGATGGGCAAGAGATGGTGCTGGCAGAGGGGCCTCAACATGCGCATGAGCGGCAGTAGGGACTAGAGGTGGGCCACTTGGGGTCCGTGCTTGCATTGACACTACTTCCCGCATGCACCTCTCTCTCTGCTCACTCCTCTCAAGTAGCTGCCTCAACCTCTGATTCTCCACCTCCTGCGCCTGGGCTCTAGCCTCCTTTCCTGCAAGCTGCCTGGCAACCTCTGCTTGAATTGCCTCTTGAGGGAGCGACGACGACTCGGTACGGCTCGAGGGGCGTTCAGGGGCTGCAGATCTAGGGTAAAGGAGTGGGGCCCTTTGCTCAAGCGCTTGCATGCGTTGCAGCAACTCGGCATTGAGTAATGGGGATTCCCTCCCGGGCCTGGGGCCAAAAGTGGTGGGTGTGCCGATTGAGTCCGGCTGCGGCGGCGAAGCACTTGACCCAACACTCCCATCTCCCAAAGCCCTCACCCTAGACACTGCTCCAGGGCTTGCACGTGTGTGGTGTGGTGGTGACTGGGCCTGCACCTCAGTCCTTGCCACACGGAAAAACTCAGAAACACGAGACATGAAAACACCAGGAATGCCTTCAACCATTTCGGAGATAGCGGGCAAACCCTGTGAACGTGGGGTCATGAACCCCTCAACTCCAGCGGTCTCACCAGTTGACCTTATGCCCCCCAAACCCCTGTCACCACCTTGGTCTGTAACCTGACGGTCGTCACCCAAGGTGTCCTGACGCAGGATGGTGTTGGCCTCTGGTCCTGGACTTCTGTCCGGAGGTTGCACTGCTTGTGGCATGCTTCGGGGCATACCGTGCAATATCCCACCCTCAGTGGTGGTCGACGCATGCTGCATGCCTTCTGCTGGGTCTATACTAGCACGCGCCCTTCCCGCAGCCATATCCACAAAACCCAAACCACCCTCAATGCCGGCGGTGGGTGCATCAGGTGTTGCGGAATGCATATGCTCTTGCAAACCATCCCTCCCGGGAGGTTGGGATGATTGCTGCATCACGGTGCCGTAGCCCTGCGTTGGGCTCATAACCTGCTGGTGTGACCCAGCAGGTTGAGAGGTAGGAACAAGTGGAGTGCGCAGTTCCCCTGTCCCTGAACTCCCAACTTCCATGGCTCACACGAACGCGGAGTGACCTTTTTACACGAGCGAACAGAAACAACAAAAACCTGTGAAGTTTGAACTACTTGGGCTACGGCACCTACAGGTTGTAAACATACTTAAAAGTTGTGCTCATGACCCTACTGTGCTTGGGCCTACGAGCAACAAGGAAAACAAGTAAACAACCTAACCTCAAGGACCTGCAAAGGAAGTGCGTTCAACAGTTAGGGTTTAGGGTTTAGGGTCTAGGGTCTAGGGTTTAGGGTGTAGGGTTTAGGGTTCAGGGTTCAGGGTTCAGGGTCATCAGGCCCGTGACCAGCCTCGGCAAGGGGTGTAGGGTTTAGGGTTCAGCGTAAGTTGTTAGGGTGTCTAAACCCTAAGCCTAAACCCTAAGCCTAAACCCTAAACCCTAAACCCTCAGCTAGGGTGTCTAGAGGTTCAGGGCTTCGGGCCGACAAAAGCTTCGGAACCGAAAGCCCCTTCAGTCCTCAGGGTTCAGGGTTCAGGCTTCAGGGTTTAGGGCTTATGGTCTAGGCTTCAGGGTTTAGGAGCTGAGGCTTCAACGGATGGTCTAACCTGTCCAAGGAGCTCGTTCACGCTGAGCTCCCCACCCCCATCGGCGTCCAGCACGTCAAACAGGCCGACTTGGGCCGACGTGTCAATGCTGGCCTCTCTCCGGGCCGCGGATGAGGGATTGGGGGTTAGGGTTTTGGGGTTTTGGGGTTTTGGGGTTTGGGGTTTGGGGTTTGGGGTTTGGGGTTTGGGGTTTGGGGTTTAGGGTTTAGGGTTTAGGGTTTAGGGTTTAGGGTTTAGGGTTTAGGGCTTCGGGTTTAGGGTGTAGGGTTTAGGGCTTAGGGTTTAGGGTTTAGGGTTTAGGGTTTAGGGATTGGGGATTGGGGTGCCCAAACTCCTACATGCACCCGAAGCTTCTGAGCCCTTGATCCCTTGATTCCCCGCTCTACTACTCTCGGACCCTCCTCATTTGATCCCTCTTCTAGGCTGCCCAGTAACCTAGGCTCAAAAAGGGTGCCCTTTTTTGCTGAAAGGGGTTTATAAGGGAACCTACACCCCCCAAAAAGGGAATAAGGGTACTACTGGGCATCCTAGTCTTAAACTCTCCTCAAGGCCCACCGGCTTTATACCCCAAACCCTGAACCCACAGCGCCTAACACCGACTAAGCCCGAAACGCCCCAAACCCTGAACCCCGAAGCCCGAACCCGGGACCCTGAACCCCGAGACATTATCAAGTTCACAACCATCTTATTCAAGTCCGGATAAAAAGGGAAGCGCTATCATAATAAACAGATTAAACTCATGAGGAACAAGATACTTAAATACATTCATCATTCCCTGCCAAACTATCTATGATAATCATACACGTATAGTAACCTGATGAACATGTATAGCGGTGTTGCCTTTCATGGCAACCTGATCAAAGCCATGAGAATAACGATAGCTCATCATTATCTTCCTAAATCCATGGAAACAAATAAAACCTTAAACCCTAAACCCTAAACCCTAAACCCTAAACCCTAAACCAAATCCGTGTAAGGCGCCTCGTCCAGCACGCGCACGAAGTCCTGGTCATGAAGCCACGAGTCGAACTCGTCCCTCGAGATGCTGCGGCCCGCAACCTCTCAGCGAAAGCTACGGAACCGTGAGTTTTGGGGTTTTGGGGTTCAGGGTTTAGGGTTTAGGGTTTAGGGTTTAGGGTTTAGGGTTTTGGGGTTCAGGGGTTAGGGTTAGGGCATTGGGGTTTAGGGTCTGGGGTTTACGGGGTTGCGGCCTGTGTTTTGGGGTCGGGACAAGGCACAACATCAGCAATGTCCAGAACACCGCCAAGCCCTGAACGAAATGAACCCTAACCCCTAAACCCCCAACCCTCCCTTTTTTCCACCCCAACCCTGCACCCAAGCGCTACGACCTAAATGACCCTAAACCCCAAGCCCCCTAAACCCTAAACCCCGAACCCTAAAGCCTAAACCTCGAACCCTAGACCCCAAACACAAAATCTAAACCCCTAAGCCCCAACCCTAAACCCGAAAACCCTAATGCCCTAAACTCGCAACAACAACCCTACTACCCTAAACCCGAAACCCCTAAGGCTTACTTCATCCAGGTGACTTGCAGAACTTCGTCCAGTCCCTCGGAACCTGGTAGCTTCCCCAGCAAAGCTGGAAATAATGGGAACTACTGCTTGTTCAGGGTTTAGGTTTCAGGTTTTAGGGTTTAGGGTTTAGGGTTGAGGGTTTAGGGTTTAGGGTTTAGGGTTGACTTGTTTGGGCTTTCTGATAAAGAGGTGAGCAAAAAAGGCGCAGCAGGTGCCACTCGGGGGTCTGAGGGACGGGTCTTGAGGTCTGGCGAAGCTCGGAAGCTGCTCCTCTTCAAGCCCAGCTTTCGAATGATTCGGTCCTGCAGGGCCCCTAAACCCTAAACCCTAAACCCTAAACCCTAAACCCTAAACCCTACGCGGAGCTGCAATTGGTACTGTAGAAAGGAGTTAGTGTTGGAAGTTGAAAGGGTTAATGAACCCGTAAACTATGTTTGGCTCAAGATGGCCAGCCCGTCCAAAGAAAAAAGTCCGTGTTTGGGAGTGAGGGTTGGGTTAGTGCCCCTCTACTTGTGTAAGGGTGCCCCTTCCTTGTTGCTCTTATCCGTGTTCTTGGTTGTTTCTTGGTTCGATCTGGGAAATATAAGTTCAGGGCGATTAGGGGAGTTGATTTCCTTCCTTGGTTGTCCCCCCGTAGGTTATGAGCCCAAATTAGGTTCCCTGCGGTTAAGTGTTCTTTCAAGGTTTTGGGATCAAGAAGCAATGCCTTCTCCGAAGCGATGGCTCCAACTTGCCTCGGATGGTGGACAAGATGGTGGAGCTGGAAATGGTGCAGCTGAGTCTCTGGGTGAAAGATCGGTGTTGGAAGAGGTGATTCCCGGCGCTGAAGAACATCTGGAAGAGGCCTTGGTTGCAGAAAGCCCCAATGTGGGTATGAATCCCAATAGGGATATGGTTAGCAATGCTGAAGCTGAAGGACGTGCTGTTTCTGTATCGCCAAAGCCTGGTGAGAAAAGGAACTGGGACGCGACTGGTGGTATAGATCGTGAAATGGAGGTGACTGTTTTACGAGTGTTGCACAAACACGGGTATCAGCCGTCGTCTTCGACTTCGGGTCGAATGGTAGACCAAGAGTCTCAGACCGATCTGATTGGAGAAGTGCTGCAAGCGGCCCGGAGGCCTCTGAACAAGATCAAAAGGGGTCCATCTTCGAGTTCCCAAGGTGGTGGAAGCGGTCATGAACAGAAGGGTGCGGACAGCTTTGAAGCTGCACCTGCTGCTGGATACGCCATGGGGGAGGAGGAGATCCTACAGATGGAGGCTGAGAGGTTGCGACAGTTGTCCGAAGAAGAGGACGAGATGCGACAGGTCTCTGAAAGGGATGGTTTTCAGAAAGACGAGCATCTGATCAAAGCGTGCGATGGGACAACGTGGGAATGGCACCTCCATGAAGATGGGAGACAATATTATTACTGCCTGGATACGCAGGAAAGCAAGTGGACATTGCCGGTGGTAGGTGAAAAGATGAAGAGTGACGAGGTGGTTGGGTCTCCTTCGGGCAATGAGCTGGAAATGGAGGCGGCACTGGATTCTTCATCCTCTACTCCGAAGACTGAGTCTACGAGGGCATTCCAGGGTAGTGTAAATAGTTTAGGTGAAAAAGATTTTTCCTCTACTATCAGGGATAGCGGTCCTAGGGCTGGTGGTGACGCCCCGACCTCGGGTTCTCCTGATGAGGAGGAGATTCCTGGAAACCGAACAGACATCGCTGGAGCTCAACATCTGGATCGGGAAGGAATGGGAGCACTTTCTGAGGGTGTGGCAGCGGTGGAATCGGTAGGTCCAGAAGAAAAGATTCCCAATGTGGAGATCGGAACTGTGTCGGCTGCAGAAGATCGAGTGGTGGATGTGGTACCTGTCGTTCGGGAATGTGGTCCTGGAGATTTGGAAGACGGAGGGAAAAGGTCGTGTGTTGCGACTGAGGAGGTCTCTTCGTTTGGTGCCAAGGTTCCTGCCATTCAAAGGGAAAAAGAAGCTTCTGGAATAGCTGGAGACACAGAAGATCTGAAAAATGAGGCCTGGAGCGCCAATGATGCGCGGGTCGATGCGCCAGATATTACCTGGAGTGCGAAGGAAGCACGGGTTGAGGTGCATATGGCGTTACGTTCCACGGGCGACTGCAACAATGGGGCGCAGGTCTCCGCAGCAGCTGATGATGGAGGTTCACAGGTGGACGCACTGGTGCAACCTGAAGTTAGCAGCGAGGAACGAAATGACAAGGGCTACACCGGAGCCAATGAGGCAGCTGTGGTCAATGATGGTGGAAATTCTCCTTTGGAAGCCATGGAACCAAAGGATCCTGGTGGAAGAAAGCATGCCTGCCGTGGATGATCGACTCAATTGCCCTGCAGTGGAGGAAGATTTGCCTGCTGCAGAAGGTGTGACAAAGGACTCCAATGATGGGTCCACTCCCATGAAGGGAGAAGTGTTGCCGTCTGGAAGTTCGCCGGAAGTCGACACCGAGCGAATTACAGCAGATGAGGCAAAGCCTTTGGCGGAGAAAAAGAGAGGTCCTGAAGTCCAGGAGCACAAAAAAGATGAGCTTGTGGGACTCGTGGAGCAGGACGAGCAGTGTGACTCAAAGGTGAAAACAAAGGATGCGCCAGGAGCCGATGATACAGAGGTGGTTTCTGAAGAGCAAGCAAAGAAAGTGCCCCGAGCGGGAGCCTTGGAATCACCTGGGACACATTGCTATCAAGAGGGAGATGAGATCATGGGTCTAGTGCGCTGCATCAATGGGTATGGAGCTTTTTTGGACCATGGTGATTTGAATGTATTGATTCCTACAGAAGGGAACAATACGTGCCATTTCAGATTTGGTGATACTGTCAATGGAACAGTGAAACTAGTGGAAGATGATGGTACCATAATCTTGGACACCTTTCTGGTTTTGGAAGAGGACGTGGAGGACTCTTCCTCAACGCTGCGGAAGTGGAAACCCAGCGGCTGGAGTACGTGGTGGACGAATCCATGGTATGTTGGTCAGTGGTACCGAGATTCCAACGGTCAATGGGACTGGAAACAGGAGGAAGAGCAATCCGATGAGGAGCTTGTGGTACAGGAGTTATCCTCTGAAGAACGAGAAGAAAGACAACTTTATGGAGAAAAGATCTACAAAGCTCTTCTGGAGAATGGAAACGAAGAGGAAGCCTATGTTGGCAAAATTACAGGGATGCTGTTGGGTCGCCCGATGGAAGATTTACAGGAGTGTGTTGCAGATCAGGCATTCCTCAATGCGGAAGCTCGGCGCGCGTATGGCATCTTGCAAAATGGTGGTTGGAAGCCTGATGGTACAGAAAGCACAGGCTTGGGGGAGTTAACCACTTTTTCCCGAAAACAGTACCACAACGCGCTTTTCGAACTGGCATGCAAAAAAAGGAGATTTTCTCGACCAGTTGTGGGTGAAGCGGTGGCAACGGTGCTGAATCAAGGGGAAGATGAGTTTTGGAACGCGCTTTGGTTGGACACCAAGCTATTTTTGCAGGAGCTTGATGGTGCAGTGCAATCCATGAGCAAAAGGGAGAACAAGCCAATGGAAGCCTACATGGACCCTGACCAGTACAAAAAGGCTTACATGACACCAAAGACTGTGTTGTCACCTGGTTACAGCAAGCTGTGCAAGTTCTTCAATCGGGGAAGGTGTCGCAATGGTGATGAGTGTTCCTATGAGCATCGTCGTTATGGTGAAGGTTGGCCAGGAGGAGGGTCAACTGATCCAAAGAATAGCCAAGAAGCTGATGATGAGGAAGGGAACATCGGTGACCCTCCCACAGAGGAAGGTACAGTGGATGAGGCACAGCAGGAGCGGGAGGATTTAGCCTTCCGGGCCAAGTACAATTTTGGCAAAGGTGCATCAAAGGGTGAGCCTACGTCAGGTGAGCCAAAAGGTCGGCTGTGTCTGTATTACAATCAAGGTGGTTGTAAATATGGGACTGCATGCAGGTACCTTCACAACGATGACATAGCATTGGAAGGGACTTGGGGGCCCGGCAAATCTTGGGACAATGCTTCCAGGAAGTCACTAAGGGACGCAGGGTTCCACAATTGCTGTTTCGATTATTACCTCCGAGGACGTTGCCGGAAAGGGTTAAATTTCTGCAAGCACTCCCATGACGAGATGTCAGAGGAGCGGCTGTCGCTCCTGAAACACTTGGTACAGGTGGCCAATCAGGTCCGGTTTGAAAAAGAGAGAAGATGGGAGATTACGGATAGAAGCACGTTTCAGCCGCCTGCAAGTGGGGGAGCTGAATCTTCCTCATCCTCGGCACCGAAAGCACTGCAAATGACCAATGTGTCACAAAAAGATGGTGAAAAAGGTACTCTGGATGAAGCAGAAGCTGATGAACAAAAGAATTCAGTGGCTGCATCCACTGGTACTCAGCTTCAAAATCCGGAGGAGCCAATTGAAAATTGGATGGCTCGCAACGCACACCTGTGGGTGTATACCCCTCATGTAAGTGAGGTGATGATTACGCTTGGTGTGACCAATGTGTCGGACTTGCAAGAGTTCATCTTTGTGGAAGATTTGGTTGACAAAGGGATCAACAAAGTGACCGCATGCAAAATTCTGCAATTGGTGGGTGAGGTCCGATATCGACCGGGAGGACCGGAAAAGGCAGTTCCTTCTGATGCATCTGTACGGGTACAACAATCTTCTGGGAACAAAGGGACTGGAAGAGCGGCGGTGCGAACCCTCACTCAGGTGCGTGAAGCTGAAGACTCCGGTGCAAAAACTATGCCGAGAGGCTCCTATCGGGAGCTTTTTGATAAGGTCAGGTACCGTGATGGTTGGACGCTTGCGCAGAGGTCTCCGTTGTGTGTACAGAAGCTGTGGTTGGTGGGTGTTGGAATGCCGCCGGTGAATCCACCAACAAAAAAGTATCGGTCAAGATCAAACCCTGTGAGAAGGGGAAGGCCCTTGCTGGACAAAAAACAGGTGCGACAGGTGCCACGCTCTCGGTCACAACGACGAGTGCAACCGGCGGAAGTGGTGGAAAAGCCGAAGCCACTGGAACTGAAGCCTCGTGGTGGGTTGTCGTATCGGTTCAGCAGAGCGTGGGCAGATGTGGTGGATGATGATGAACAGGCGGAGGCTTTGGTCTCGTATGCCGCTTCCTCAAGCGATTCAAGCGAAGAGGAGACCAATGCCGTACAACGCCTGAAGGAAATCTTTTTGCAAGAAAGGGATTCACAGAGAACTGCGAATCGTGGCAATGTTCCGCAAAGTGGTTCTTCAGGCTCCAATGACGGGCCGAAAAAATCGGTTCACCTTGGCGAAGGGCGCGACAAAGCGTCGCGGGGGGAGACCCGCCAAGAAGTGACTTCACAAGTTTTTTCGCTACCACAACCTTCTCGTCGAGCTGAACGGTCTCAAAAAAGAGCAAGGGATGGTTCAGTTATGGTTGGTTCGCTGGCGGTGGGCTCCACGGATGAGGTTTTACCTGGGCAAGGTGTTGCTGGACAGGTGAATGTCTCTGAAAGCGCTCAAGTTCTTCCTGGGCAAGAAGTGGCTGGACAGGAGACGGCGCCGGAAGGAGCAGTACAGATTTCTGGCGAGGAGACTGACCAAAAAGAAGGAGAAGGTGGGAGCAATGACCTCCGTGGTGATGATGCGAAGATGTTGGATGGTGGTCCGGTGAGGAGTGACCTTCAGCAATTGCTGGTTAAAGGCCTTCTGACTCGGATTTATTGGAAGGTTGCAGTTGGCAAGTTGCCGGTGGGGCAAAGAGACTGCCAAAAAGGGTCCAATAAGATGGATCGAAATTTGGTTATTAGCATGTCATCCGAGGGTGCAAGCGAACAGGATGAGAACCTGGCACTGGAGGACGATGCTGATCAGTCAATGGGTGACGGTGCGATGGTTGTTCTGGTGTATGATCCAAGGACGCTGATTCAGTCGCCAACAACTGATTGGGTTATGCGTCGCGGTCTTACCGATCGTTCCGTCTGGCCAGCAATGGCGTACATGGCACAGAGGATATGTGCTGAAATGGTTCAAGTGGATGAAATGAATGCCCAGCTAGGGACTGGAGCACTCCTTTTTCAAAGGAGAGATCAAGGACATTATACTGACCTGCATCATTCGTTCCATGAAAACCCGTGCTTGCCGGCGGTGGGGAATTATCCTCTTTCAGTGATGGGTGCTTTGTTGTCTCCTGGTCTGGAAGGGGAATTCAAGAACACTGACAAGTTTGGAACTGCTATGGAGGCAATTGCCTACGATTGGAGCCGCAGTCCAGGCATGGAAGTTCATATTGAACTTATGGCGAGGGTAGCCAAAATGGTTCACCCATTCCTGAATCTGGGAGCCCAAGGGTCGGTGATGATTTCGGAATTTCTCTGGCAGCGCGGGAGGGCTCGGTTGATGGAGTTCCTTCAAGCGGCGACTTGTGCGGACCAATTGGAGGCTCTCTGGAGAAGGATGGACGACGATGCTGATGAAGAGGTGGATCCTTCGACAGCGGTGCTGGAAGTTTTTGGACCAGAGGGCGCGGTGCTTGATCAAGGGAACAATGAATCCCTTATTCCCATTGAAGATGCTGGAGGTGAGATAAGTGGTGACACTGGAGGGGATGGCAAAGCGCCAGAAGTTTCTCCGGAAGAGGAGACATCCAGTGGGTCATCAAGACTGGCGGACACAAGGATTTTCTTGTGGTCAGTGTACTCCCGCGTGGCTTCGAATTTCTCTATGCAGGACCGCACTACTGGTAAGATCTTTGACAGCACAAAAGGGTATCCTGGTGAAGGACCAAACAATGATGACAATCCTTCCTCTAAGGGGAACTTACCCTGGATCTCAGAAGACTACCTCGACGAAGTGGTGTCAAAAAAGATGGAAAGGTCTTCAGATATGGATGGGTTTGTTCCGGGAAGTGAGGGACCATTGGAAAAGGTAGAGGTGGAGAATGTTACTGCCTCTAAAATTCTTATGGCTCTTTGGAAGAAGGGACATAGAGTTGGTTATAGGAGGTTGTGTCGTTTGAACGCATCTGGATGCAAGGTTGGAGCAATGAAACGTCCAATCAAAAGGGTGCAGAAGATTGGCACTAGAAAGGCCTTCATGAAGATGTTCAATGTTTTTGGATCGTCTCAGCATGGCTCAGGAGTTGGCGGAAAACCGATCATGAAGGTGGTAGGACCAAGGCCGGGTTTTCCAGCTGTACTCCAAGCACCAAATACTGATAGCACGTCGGGTGAAGGGAGCAGTCCCCAGGTACATGGCAATGTTCATGTAGAGCACAATCGCCCTATGGACCGGTATGAGGCAGAGCGCTTGGAGAAGAGGAAGAAGGGTTTCTGCTATTGGTTCGGCAGGGGGAAAGATCGCTGCAAATTCGGTGACGACTGCAAATTCATCCATTCCGAAGATGATGTGGTGCTACATTCATATTGGTGCAAATACTATGTGGCAGGGAGAGAATGTTTCGCTGGAAAGGATTGTGGGTTCTCGCATGATGCAACTGGTGTGAGGTGCGTCCAGTTTGCTCGGTCTGGGAAGTGTCGATTTGGTGACAGGTGTGTCTTCGAGCATGGTGTTCCGTTGGAAGAACAGAGGCCAAGGTCTCCAAGGACGCCCCCAAGGGATGGTCCAAGGAGAAAGTCTGGTGCAAATGGTGGAGAAAAGGAGATCTCTCCTGAACAGTTCGATGATGATGAGGAGGATTTTATGGTTTATGACGAAGAGACCAAGATGACGGAACTGTTGATGGAGGCGATTTCATTTCTGTCCGGTGGCAAGCCAGATTTGGCTCGAGCAGAGGCGGACCCATTGTTCAAACTCCTGAAGTTCACTGGAGATGCTGACCAAATGGATCAAGTATGGGTTTCGTGGACCACTGAAATGTTGTCCGTGCTGGAACTTCTCGAAGTAGTGAAGTCGTATGAGGTTTCGCTCGCGGAGGTGGAAGAATGGGTCAATGACCTGAGGATATGGTATGAGCGAGCCAATTTGGGAGAGGAAAAGGATCCCAAAAGAGGTAAAAAGAGATCCCTAGAAAGGGAGTCCAGCAAGGATATTCCTGCCGAAAAAGGAGTGGTTGAGACTTCGGAGACGGAGGTTGCCGTTGAAGAAGAGAAGAAAAAGGTAAAAAAGAAGAGGAAAGCTGCAGCTATTGAAGATCCTTACACTCTCATGGTTCCAAAGCCGAAGAAGATGCCGACGATCATTGAGAAGGGTGGATCAACATCCAATGTGGTGGCTTCTGCAGTGGAAAAATCCTCGAAGACGCGCACAAAGTCAAATGTCGGTGGAAAGACAAAGAAGAGGGAGAAAAGTCAGAGTCCCAAAAAAGAAGAGGTGGTAATGGTTCAAGATCCTGAAGAAAAGGATCGTCCATCTGATGCGGATGCACCAGGGTCTGCCACTGCGAATGAAGAGCTGGGTCAATCTTGCCAGGCGATTGAGGACGCAAAGAGAGAAGGATTGGTATCCTCAATTCAAAGGGGCGTACAGGATCCTGTTCTTACAGTTTCGGACCTGGAGTATATTCTGCTGCAACTTCACCTCAAGATTGCCAACAATCGGAAAAAGAAGTGATTGGATGGTATGGATGAAGGGATAGTTTTTCTCTTTCTGGAGACGGGTGCGCTGGAACAGCCAATGTGCTGACAATGTGGTGGTTACTATTAAGGGTATGGAAATCCCTGATAGTAGAAGTAAGTAGCTTTTCGCGTAGCGAAGACCACGGTTTGTGGTGAAGAAGGCCAAGGAGTCTTCAGTGATGAGAGGATCATGGTGAAAAAAGATTCTCTATGGGTGGTAGGTTAGCCAACGTGCTATAATTCAGTCCTGGAAGACGTTAAACCACAACTTGCATTTCAAGCAGCTGGCTGCTGCCTTAATGGTAGTTTTTGGCCAAAAGACCTGCATCTCCAATGTGTCCTAGGAAATCCTAGGACAGGGGGAGTGCGGAGCTGCAATTGGTATTGTAGAAAGGAGTTAGTGTTGGAAGTTGAAAGGGTTAATGAACCCGTAAACTATGTTTGGCTCAAGATGGCCAGCCCGTCCAAAGAAAAAAGTTCGTGTTTGGGAGTGAGGGTTGGGTTAGTGCCCCTCTACTTGTGTAAGGGTGCCCCTTCCTTGTTGCTCTTATCCGTGTTCTTGGTTGTTTCTTGGTTCGATCTGGGAAATATAAGTTCAGGGCGATTAGGGGAGTTGATTTCCTTCCTTGGTTGTCCCCCCGTACCCTAAACCCTAAACTTGAACCCTAAAGCCGAATCCCATGATTCAGGGACTTGGGGCTTGTAGCCCGCGAGCTTAGGAGTTGGAGCTTCCAGGGCTTCTGGGTCCTTGATCTTCGTTTCCATCACCAGCGCCGTTTCCGCTATCTCGGTCTGCTTGCGCACGAACTGAGAGCTCATCACATTCCTAAGTGGGCCGAGCCCGCCGCGTCAAAAAATGCAATGCCAACGGAGAAGGCTTGTGCTCGGCTCTAATTAAAGTTGCTGGTACTACTGCAAAACAGGTTGGGGGCTCGGAATGATTGCTTATGTTCTTCCCTTGTGGTCCCTATGCATATATATATATATATATATATATATATATATAATTATATAATTCTATAATTATATAATTATATAATTATATAATTATATAATTATATAATTATATAATTATAATTATATAATTATATAATTATATAATTATATAATTATATAATTATATAATTATATAATTATATAATTATAGAATTATATAATTATATAATTACACCATAAGAGCCCCCAAAGCCCTGTTCAAATTCCTGAGACCCCTTCTTGTACTAGTTGCAAGCGCCTGCTGCATCTCCTTAAACGGGGCCAGGCACCCCGCGCCGGCACTTGTTAGTCGCAATTCTTGGGCACGAACTCCAACAAGGGTTTCGGGTTTAGGGTTTAGGGTTTAGGATTTAGGTTTTAGGGTTTAGGGCTTAGGGTTTCAACAGGAACCCAAACTTAAAACAACCCCCACAGAACTTGCGTCCGGCATCTCTATGAAGACTGCCATGATGAGGTTGAACCTGGAAAGGGCCAAACAGCACAAAGTGAAGTTCTTTGGGTAGGTTTCTGAAAGGTTGCCACCCTACATGTAGCCTTGCCCATCGTCGAGCCACACCGCTAACCCCTGAAGCCTAAGCCGTTAACTCTAAGCCCCAAGCCCTCAGCCGTACTGTCTAAACCCTGAATGGACCTATTGGGTCCGCCAGGCCGACTCAAGCTTCTGGACCTCGCAAACTGCCTAGTACGAAAAATCGGCTTCCCCATATTCAGCAGGAGCCCCTCCACCTCCATACCCCTTAACCACGTCGAATCCGACCAATGCGCGCAAGAAGCTTAACTGTCTGCCGCAACCCCCGGCCGAGGTGCGTCGCACAGCGGTAAACTTACAGAGCACAGGTTGGGATGTTCCCCCTTCATAGGGATCATAAGGGGGGGGGGGGGGGGGGGGGGGGGGGGGGGGGAGGGGGTGCTATAATCCCTATTAAGGACCGTTCATATAAGGGGGAACATCCCACAGTGCAGGCTTTGGGATGTTGAAGGTTGAGATAAAGTTGAACGTGCGGCTGGATGGAAACCCGAAACCCGCTCCGACTTGGACTGCTTTTGGGGGTTTCGGGATTGGGATCGTCTCTCCAAAAAAGAACTACCAAGAGAGGGTCGAGGGCTGCCCTCCACCCTAAACCCTAAACGCTAAACCCTAAACGCCCTAAACCACCTAAACCCTAACCACTCCCCCACTTGGACTTGACTCTCACTGAGGGTCGAACACGCCCACTGTGACCAGCATGGTGACGAAGATGTAGCCAACCTGGGGCAGTGGGTAGACAAAGGGTACATGAAGGTTCATGGGTAGTCATAAGTAGTTTAGGAGTAAGGTAGCCTCCAAAAGAAACTTAATTGAGGTACTTTTCACCCTACTTGTAACTACCCATGAACCTTCAAGTGTCATGTGTTGCTTTAAGGCTTATATGAGGGGGATAGGGACCCCTCTGGGTCAGGGGCACATCTCGTACCAACATGATCTTCACGGTTCACTCGAGTGTCTGGAGGACAAAGCAGGAAACCGTAATCCTAAACCCTAAACCCTAAACCCATAAGGGAACCTGTCTAAAAGGTCAAGGAGCAATGAAAGGCCCGCCGTGGGCTCGACGCAGGTGTTCGGACAAGGGGGTACCATCATAGGCACTGCACCCGTCTGTGAAGCAGCGGAAACCTGAGCTCCAAGGGCGGGTACTAATGGGGTCGCTTACGGGCCCATAGAAGGGGTCATGGCCATTGGTACCCCCAATGTTGTGGTCCTCATGCTGAGATGGCGACATGTAAACATCGCCGCCACCACCGTCTCGAACTCTGGGAACCCCTGCAAACTGCCAGGAACTTGGAGCTCAGAGCAGAACCGCTTTAAAGGCTTTAGGGGGTTTTGGAGGTTTTGGGGGTTTAGGCGCTTGTGGATGTTTAAACACATTTGGGGTTGTGGAATCTGCTATTCTCGAAATCTAGGCTTGAATTCCAAGCTACCCAGAAAAAAGGGCTACTTTACCCCGTGTAAGAGAGAGCTGCAGCCCCAAGATAGCTTGCTGGCCCCAGCAGGACTAAACCCTCAACCGTAAAACCCAAACCCCCGAACTTCCCAAACCCCCACCCCACCACGCCCTAAACCCGAAACCCTAAACCCTAAACCCTAAACCCTCAACCCTAAACCCCGAAACCCCGCAACACTACTCACCGCAAGAGGCGCCTCCGGCCCGTCTCCCACGAAGTTGCCTCCGAGGCGCGCGACGATGCATGAAAAGTCGAGGGTCTACAAGTTTAGAAATGGTTTAGATAGGGTTTAGGGTCTACGGTCGAGGGTTTAAGGGTTTAGGGTTTCTGGCTCCAGGCCCTAAATCCTGTTTACTCGGGTAGAATTGGGGGCCCTGTTATTTACTAGGGTAGATTTTGGGGGCCCCGGTAGATCTAGGGGGGCCCTAAACAAGACTAGGGTAGACTTAGGGGGCCCTGTAAAAGAGCACACTCTCAATGGCCTTTATGGGGATCAGGGGGCACTAAAAGTTTTAGTAATCCTTCGTTCAGAGCCTGGGCGGCCCCCTAAAGAATATAGCAACAATACTGCTACGAGTATCTTTTCGAGGCCTGATAGGCTTGTCTGTAGTGCTACGATGTAGTAGCGGCTGTGTTTGCTACCATGGAGGTTTTAGCCGGGTGGATTCGAGAGCTGGAACCGCAGGCAAGGCGCGCATCGCGATGCCGATGCCATAGACAAGCACCACCAGGAGCACGATGGCCCAGCAGATCACCCGCAATCCCGAGAAGACGCCCAGCACGATCCTCGAGATCGCACCCAGCGGCTCCAGGGCTGCTTTAAGAGGAAGATCTGAGGTGACTGGTCGTAGGGGTTGAGGGCTTGAGCGCGGCGCTGAACAAGGCAGTTCCCTAAATTGGGTTCCCTTTTGTGGGGTCCCCAAGATCCCGGCGCCTTTGAAATAGGGGCCCCTTAAAGTAAGGACCCAAGAAGGGGCCCTAATTTGGAGAACTTTCCCAATAGGACTTGGGGAAGCTGGGGATTTAGGGCCGATTTATTGGCACCTCTGGGCCGGACAGTCAAGGCCCCCCCAAGCATCGAAAGCCCCGAAGCCCCCTAAAGCCGATGAAACCCTGAAAAGCCGACCAAGACCCCCATGAAGCCCATAGAACGCAGCACCGAAACCCCGACAAAAGCCCCATGAAGGAGGCAAATGCAAAAAAAAGCCTACATAGAGCTGCGGACCCTTGAATTCAGCCAAACGTGCCCGCAAAAGCAAACAAAACCTTCAAAAAAAAAACACACCCCCCACAAAGAACACAATATAAAAGCAAAGCAAGCGAGTTTCAACTTCAGCTCGTGGAAGACCTGGAAGCGAAGGGCGCGGATGAGCCGGGCCAGGCGCGCCAGGCGGAAGACCTTCATGAGGTTCAGGCTGGAGATCGCCTTCGTTGCTGAATTTCAAGGGGAGACTCTACCTCCCCTTAAGGTCGTACCCTTGGGTGTGGGGACCCTGTTGAAAGATTTCTAAGGCAATATAAAGGGCCATATTCGGAGCAGATTCAGGGAACCGGAACCTCTTGGCATCCTTGAAATTCCGAGCATGGCTCCCCTGATCATTGTCTTGTGGGGGAGTGGGGAGCAGGGGAGGTTAGTGTTTAGGGTGTAGGGGGTTTTGGGGGGTTTAGGGGGTTTGGGGGATTTAGGGGATTTAGGGAGTTTAGGGGATTTAGGGGGTTTAGAGGGTTTAGGGGGTTTAGGGGGTTTAGGGGTTCAAGCCAGGGGCTCTGCTGGAGATCGCCTTAGGGAGCACTGTTTTGTTTCAGGGGTCCCTAAACCACTAAACCCTAAACCCTAAACCCTAAACCCTAAACCCTAAATCCACCATAAAGGTGTGAGCTCAGGTCGGACGCCTCGGCATCAGAGCTATCGCGGCCCTGCGTCAAGAGGATTGTGGCGAAGCTCACGTCCACCTCAGGACAGTCGGGCTTGGGGTTTAGGGTTTAGGGTTTAGGGTTTACGGTTTAAGGTTTAGGGTTTAGGGTTTAGGGTTTAGGGCTTAGGGCTTAGGGTTTAGGGTTTAGGGTTTAGGGTTTAGGGTTTAGGGTTTAGGGTTTAGGGTGTAGGGTTTAGGGTTGAGGGTATTTTGGGCTTAAGGGGGTGTGATAGTTGGGGTGTCTTTCGTAGTTACCATAGCTCCCTTTGTGATTTAAGGAAGGTTCCTTCTCATTCGGTGGCATTAATCTCTTTTGGTCAAGACTGTCCTAAAGGCAATCATTGGGCGAAGCGCGGGGGCTTCGGCCGGCCCTGAGGTATCCAATGCTGGGCGCACGGCGTACATGACAGCCAAGCAAAGAATATCAAAGATATTCCAGGCGCGCTCTGGGCCACACCAGTACCAGCTCCATCCGTAAATCCACACCTGGATTCTTGACAACGGCTGGTGTCGACACATGCTCTTCACGTGCCGTCCACTTTAGAAGGATTCTACTGTACGACTGTCCGACCCACAACCCTGGACGGTTTTGCTCTGCGATGCCTTGACGGCAAACTCGAACGTGTAGAACGCGACCTCGCTCGGACGGCTTCCCCTAAACCCTAAACCCTCAACCCGAAACCCTAAACCCCATGTGCCGTCTGCTTGGAGTGTTGGGGGCCCGAGGACTTTAGATGTGGAAGAAAAGGTTCAGGTACCCGTTCTTCGTAGTACGTTGGGGAAGGTTTGCGCCCTACATAACCCCTTTAAACAAAAAATGGGGGAGGGGTATGTTTGGCCCCCAGACTCCCTACTTCCCTTCTCAGAAATAGACAGACCCTTAAACAGTTCTCTACTACCCAGACCTCTGGGAGGATCCAAAAAGTAGAAACTCCAAATAGTTTCCTATACTTTTGGGTCATTTTTTGGGAACCCTTCAGGGGATCCGGAACCCCAAACCCCAAACCCCAAACCCCAAACCCTAAACCCTAATCCCTAAACCTCCCAGGGGTCTGGGTAAGGGGCAAGGGGCGGGGGCTTGGTGCTGCAACGTTTACACCAGAGAACGAAACGGGGCGTCAGGGCGTTGGCATTTAGGGTTTAGGGTTCAGGGTTTAGGGTTGAGGGTTTAGGGTTTCCGGTTTAGGGATTTAGGGAAGCAGCTGCGGAACCCCTTGCGAAGTGAAAGCTTCCTGCGAAAGAAGTGGCAAAGACGTACTCCAGCACCTGCCAACCAATGTGACCACCTCAGTCTTCACCCTCCCGACCACCCCCCCCCCACCCCGGGGTTAGGGTTTAGGGTTCCTTGGGTTGGAGAGCAGGGCTGTCATGCAAGCTCGGCCGCGATACACGTCGAGACTGACGCCGATAACCAGGGCGTTGGCCACGATGACGATTGCAGGAACCTCCGACGTTCTTCTTGGGACCCTGGGGAACCCTGCGAGGTTCTTCCGTACTTGCCGAGAAAAAGCCACCGAAACACCCTAAAATACCCCGCACAACTATGAGGCACAGCTACTGTCGGAAACAGAACCTTGCAACTTCTGAAACAAGGTAAAAGCGCCGCCCGTGCGCGCCTGTGACCCTAAACAGTCCCAAACCCATAAAACCCTAAAACCCTCAAACCCTCAAACCCTAAGACCCTAAAATCTCAAAACCCCAAAACCCCAAAACCCTCAAACCCTAAAGCCTCCTCAAACCCTCTTTACCCAAGGAACAATGTTCAACCAGGCGGTTCTCCGGTCGAACCTGCATCCGCTTAGGCTTTAGGGTGTTTAGGGTTTAGGGCATAGGGTTTGGGGCTTAGGGTATTAGGCTTAGGGCTTAGGGGCTTAGGGCTCACAACTACGACTAGCGCAAGCAGGTGCAAGTAAGACAACAGGCCACTACCAGGCTTTTCCATGTTCCAGCCACCTGCTTGACGGTTCATGGGTCGGAGGATTACAAGACCTTTAGTTCAAGTTCCAATCTCGGTTCCCCTACTTAGAACCCTAGTTATACTTCTCCGTGAACCTTCAAGTGGAGAATGATCCATTTGGGAATTTTCAGAGGGCCCTATACGGGAGGAAATTCAAGATAAACGTCGCCCAGGTAGTCCGACTTCTGCACATCTCTCTTTGCACTTGCCCAAAAAACCTAGACGCCGTCTAAACCCTAAACCCTCATCCCTAAATCCAAAACCCTAAACGCTAAACCCCCCTTTGGCAGGCGCGCGCAGGTCCCTGTAGCGGGCCTTTCGAGCTCTGCTTCCGTTCGTCCTCCCGTAGCCGAACTTTGCATTTGCATCTTGCGGATGGCTTCGGCTTCCTCGCGGCCTCACCGCAAGCGCCAGCTTATGGTACCAAGTTCTATACAGAGTATGCTGACAAGATGCACAGTACGATGTCCACCACATTCTCTGACATGTCCAAAGCACCCGTGGTGCAGGTGTCAATCTCTGCAACAACCATGTCCTGAGACAATCGCACCGCACCAGTAAGCATCGGACTTGGGGATTGCCAGCAGCAGCAGCAGCAGCAGTGGTGGTGGCGGTGGCAGTAGTAGCAGTGGTAGCAGTGGTAGCAGTGGTAGCAGTGGTAGCAGTGGTAGCAGTGGTAGCAGTGGTAGCAGTGGTAGCAGTGGTAGCAGTGGTAGCAGTGGTAGCAGTGGTAGCAGTGGTAGCAGTGGTAGCAGTGGTAGCAGTGGTAGCAGTGGTAGCAGTGGTAGCAGTGATAGCAGTGGTAGCAGTGGTAGCAGTGGTAGCAGTGGTAGCAGTGGTAGCAGTGGTAGCAGTGGTAGCAGTGGTAGCAGTGGTAGCAGTAGTGGCAGTAGTAGCAGTAGTAGCAGTAGTAGCAGTAGTCCTTTCTTGCCAAGCCTCGTCTTCCAGCATGGGCCGTACGTGCATCTCATCCCCGAGTTTGGACGCAATTTTGGCGCAGGCGAACGAAGCACACGGGCTGGCGCTCGGATCTTTGGGGGCAGCGCGCTGGACCTCCGCAGTGACTGCCACTTATATATATATATATATACATAGCCTCATATAACTAATACCATATATAACAGCATATATTTGTATGAATAATTATATATGTATATATATATATATATATATCATATCTTATGTTTGTATTTTTATAATTATAGGCTTCAGTCGTTGTTGTTGGAGCTGCACATGCCTCTTCCAGATCTCCTCGGCGCCCGCCGTAGAGTGATGCCAAATCGCGCGCCTGCTGCTGGACACCTTCTCACAGGTTTAGGGTTACACTTTCTGGGTTTAGGGTTTGGGGTTTGGGGTTTGGGGTTTAGGGGTCCAGGGTTTAGGGTTTAGGGTTTAGGTTTAGGGTTTAGGGTTTAGGGTTTAGGGTTTAGGGTTTAGGGTTTAGGGTGGCAGTTACATGGTCCCTTAATACGGCCCCTAACCGGTTTCAGCCTACTTATAGCTGCCCCTAAACCCTAAACCCGAAACCCGAAACCCTAAACCCTAAACCCTTAACCCCTCCCCGAAGAACCCGAAAAGCTGCTGCTCAGGGGCTGTCGAACTCCTCGCGGAGTCGCGACAGGCTCTCCTCGAAGTCTGCCTTGGCCCGTCGGAGGCGGTCCTGACGAAGAAGGGGCCTACTCTGTTTAGGGTTTGGGGTTTGGGGTTAGTGTTTAGGGTTTAGGGTTTAGGGTTTAGGCTCTAGGGCTTCTACTGTAGAGGCCTTAACAATTAGAATAGGGTTTTGGAGGTCATTGTAGTAAATTTGATAAAGGGAACACAAGGGAATACTTATTATTGGTATTTATTCCGACCCCCATCTTACTCTGGGTCCTAGAAAGAAGCGCTTTTAGAAAACAGGATTAGGATGTCAGGATCAGGGTTTGGGGTTTAGGGAATAAACCTCATCATTATCATCATCACCATCATCATCATGAAACTATGACGAGTAAAGACATGAGCATGAGTGATGCGATTCTCGTCTATACTCCTCAAGACACAAGGCCTGCAGAAGTAAGTCGCAGTACTAGTTCTTAGCATTGGATGAGTGAATCAAGTTCCTTATATCCCCCTATACAACGCACCTAGTTCCCCAATTCCCTACGAAGAAACGGGAAGTTGTTTAGGGCTTCGGTGGGGGGATCCTTCCCCTCAGTCCTCTCAACCCTCAACCCCGAACCCCCTAATCACTAAAGTCCCTGAACCTCCCTTTACAAGGGTACTCCCAAGAAGTCAAGACACAACAGGAGGCACTACTTTGGGGGTACCCCTTGTACCCCTTTGGGGGGAGGTGATCAAACTTGCCTCCACTTCCTGCTGCGGCAGCCGTGGCAAGTGGGGCGCCATCGCAGGACCGCGCTTTGCCGCGCAGGCAAAGAGCAACAAGCTGCTGAGCCGGTCCGTGAAAGCGTGAAAGCAGAGACGCTAAGGGATGCACTTGAAGGTTCATGGGCAGCTAGCCCTACTGATAACTATCCACGAACCTTCAAGTAGACAGCTACCCTAAACCCTAAACCCGAAACCCACAACCCACAACCCTAAACCCTAAACCCCAAGCCGGTAAACCCTCAACCTAGAAACCCTAAACCCTTACCACGGGCAATTGTGGTTTAGGGTTTTAGGGTTGGGCTAAGGGTTTAGGGTTTAGGGTTAGGGTTTAGGGTTTAGGGTGTAGGGTTTAGGGCTATTGAAGGTTCATGGGCAGTTGTAAGCAGTACCCCAATTCAGGTTATGATACGGGCTACCTTGCTTCTAACCCTGCTTATAACTACCCATGAACCCTCAAGCAGGCTCCAGAGGTCAAAGCCCTAAACTCTGAACCCTAAACCCTAAATTAGGATACCATAAATTTAGTTTCTGGATCCTCCTAGGGGTCTGGGAAACAGACCGCTAAGCCCAAGTCAACACCGAACCCTTGGTCCTAAACCACAGTTGAACCCAAAACGTCCCTAAACTCAATACTCAAACTTAGGTTCAGGGTTTTGGGTTTAGGGTTAGGGTTTAGGGTTTAGGGTTAAGGGATAACGCCTGAACCCCTAAACCCTAAAACTGGAGACCCCCCCCCCCCCCCAACCCTAAACCCTAACCCCCCCCCCCCCCCCCCCCCCCCCCCCCACCCGCCTGAAGGAACCCAGGTCTCCTTGGCTGGCTCGGGTTTACTGTTTAGGGGTTTAGGGTTTAGGGTTTCGGGTTTAGGGTTTCAAGTTTCAATTCATGTGTCGCTATGAGTAGGGCCATAAGGGCCCTGGCTAAGGTCGGGTTACCTAGGGTTTGGGGTTTGGCATTTGGGGGCTGGGGTTATTTGCGGTTTTGTTTGGAGGCCCTTTAGACTAAGCGGCATACCTCTTTACACAAAGACGCAATTGCCAACATTGTTGCGGATATGTCTGCGATTCGGCAGTATTGCAGCTGCCGGCAGCGAGGACCTTACTTTGGGATGTCCCCCTTCGACTAACAGTCTGTATTGGGGTCTATTCTGGAATATTGTACCCGCTATTATAATCCCTATTAAGAACCACTAGTGGGGTTTCAGGAGGGGCGTTTTAAGTTTGGAGGTTGTTGGGTGTTAACCCTTAACTCTATACTTTCCAAACCCCATTCTGTGGCTTGGTGTGTCCTTCGTGAGATGGAGCAGGGTGTGTGTGTGTGGGAGGCCGCTCAACCTAGCCTCCCGATATCCTAGGACCCTTAAAGCCCAAAACCCCCAAAGCCAAGACCTACCCAGAAAAAAGCCTCGCAAGAGGCAGTCACTAAACCCAAAACCCTAAACCCTAAACCCTAAACCCTTCAAACCCTGAGCCCAGGCCATCTCTCCCGAGTCGCAGGTCCAGGGCCATGCCGAAGTGCTGCGCAGCCTTCTCGTAGTCGCCCTCCTGTGGGAAGGGGGGTTTGGAGGAGTGGGAAGCCCGAAACCCTACACCCTAAGCCCTAGACCCTAAGCCCTAAACCCCAAACCCTACTAAACCCTACAACCTTAAGCCCTCCCTGGCCGAAAAGGACCGGTTCTTCTGCACCGCACAGCCGCCTAGACGGGAGGGTATCATAAGGGTTTAGGGTTCAGGGTTTAGGGTGTAGGGTCTTAGCAGGGAATGAGGAATGAGGCACCTCAAATTCCCCCAATTCTATACCCTTTCTGAGTGCTTATATGGGGTCAGTACCTTATTCCCTCATTCCTACGAAGAGCCAGTAAGTACTTCGTGGGGCAGGTCAAGACCTTGCCCCCTAAACCCTAAACGCTAAACCCTAGACCCTAAACCCTAAACCCTAAACCTTAACCCTGAACCCTAAACCCTAAACCCTAAACCCTAGACCCTAAACCCTAAACCCTAAACCCTTAACCCTGAACCCGTGAAATGGAGATGTTTTGGAACTATCCGTTTGGCTGGGCTGTCTGCAAGGCCTCCACGTGAGGGGATCCTCGGGTCTTAGGGGGCCATGGGCGGGCCTCCCTGCAGATCTAGAACCCCTTCGCCCTGCAGCCTAAAAGTCCCGAACCCTAAACCCTAAACCCTAAACCCTAAAACCTAAACCCTAAACCCTAAACCCTACACCCGACAAGCCTAAACCCTAAACCCTAAACCCAACAATCCTCAACCAGGCTTTTGGCTCGTGGCCCTCCTGAACTCTCCATTACATGATAAAACCTTAAACCCTAAACCCCTAAACCCTGAACCCTGAACCCTGAACCCTGGTCCACCAAGCCCACCAACCCAAGATGCCCCCGCTCCTGCATCTTCTGCCTCCCCCATTCTACCTGCGTCAGCTTGGGGGTTGAGGGTTTGGGGTTTAAGGCTGAGGGTTTAGGGTTGAGGGTTTAGGGTTTAGGGTTTAGGGTTGAGGGTTTGGGGTTGCGGATTTGGGGTTTAGGGGTTAGGAGAAAGGGGGGCTGGGGGTTGGGCTTCTGGCTGCTGCAAAGGAGAACCTTCGATTCCTCGTCTTAGGGACACTTGCAGCAAGAAGCTATAGGTTTTTTCCAAGTGTACATGAAGGTTCGTTGGTAGCAAAACAAGGCAACCTACTACAACCTTCATTGAGGCACTTAGAACCCTATTCAACAACTACCCATGAACCTTCCAAGTAGTCAGTGCAGCCATCAAGAAGGTGATACCATTCGTAATTCTTGGTTTAGGGTTTAGGGTATAGGGTTTGGGGCTTAGGGTTTAGGGTTTAGGGTCTAGGGTTTAGGGTTTAGGGTTTAGGGTTTAGGGTTGAGGGTTGAGGGTTGAGGGTTGAGGGTTGAGGGTTGAGGGTTGAGGGTTGAGGGTTGAGGGTTGAGGGTTGAGGGTTGAGGGTTGAGGGTTGAGGGTTGAGGGTTGAGGGTTGAGGGTTGAGGGTTGAGGGTTGAGGGTTGAGGGTTGAGGGTGGAGGGTTGAGGGTTGAGGGTTGAGGGTTGAGGGTTGAGGGTTGAGGGTTGAGGGTTGAGGGTTGAGGGTTGAGGGTTGAGGGTTGAGGGTTGAGGGTTGAGGGTTGAGGGTTGAGGGTTGAGGGTTGAGGGTTGAGGGTTTAGGGTTTACGGACCACGGTAGTGCAAGCGGGTGAAGAAGGGGAGACATCCAGCAAAGCGTTCGGTCTCCCTTGGGTTGTCACAGGAGGGAAAGTAGCAAAGGTGCCAAGGCCAGTTTGATGCCTTAGTATGCTTACTAATATGAAAATTTCCATTACCATTACCATTCTATCTTTATTATCAGTGCCGCTACTCTTTCAACATTATCAGTGCTGTTGTTCTGGTCACTAGTAGATAGTGTTCTCACAAATGGATATCGCTGAAAGGACTGAACCTGTCGAGTTGCGACAGCAGTCAGGTCACGCTTCACGCTGTCGACGATCAGCGGCATGGCAGTCACCGGAATCGCTTGCCCATGGGGTCTTGTGCCCTTCCGGGCATGTGCTAGCTAGACAGCTGCCTGTGGTTGTTCGCATGACTGGGGCCATGCAGCGGAAGCTGCTGCTTCTTGCACACAGCTGCAAGCATGCTTGTAGAAGAGAGCGGTAGCTGCTCAAGCACTGGGCTGAGAACTTCAGAATGAAACCCTACGAGCTTCTGGTGACACTGGGCCAGGCAAGGGACCAGTGCAGCGGGCAGCGTGTCAAGCAAGACGTCCAGGGCTCACTTCTTCGGGGTTCGGGGGCGGCAGGCTTGCGGCCTTGAGGGTTCAGGACTACAGGAGCCCAGCCTCCCCGCCTCAAGCGCCCCAAACCCCCGTGACAAACCCCCTAAACCCTGAACCCTAAACCCCCTAAACCTCAAACCCTAAACCCCCTGAACCCTAAACCCTAAACCCCAAACCCTAAACCCTACACCCTAAACCCTAAACCCTAAACCCTATATAACCCCTCAAGGCCCCTGACCCTGAAACCCTCGGGCTCCCGTGTCCGTCTTTCAGGCGCTCTGTTGCGCGGTGCGTCTCCGGCGTGAAACGACGAAGCTGCTTTTCAGCACGGAGCCGCCGGCGGTTTCGGGTCAGGGTGTAAGTCTTTGGGACTTCAGTGGGTTTCTAGGGTTTGGGTCTTAAGGTTTAAGGTTTAGGGTTTAGGGTTTTAGTTCAAGGTTGCGGGTTTAAGGTTTGGAGTTTAGGGCTTAGGGTTCCCTTCAGCCGGTTTAGGGATCAAGGGCTCTGGGCGTAGGGTTCCCAAAATCCTAAACCCCCAGCACTGAAGTGCTTCGAGGCTTCGGTGATAAAACCTTGAAACTCAAAAAAGCCTTAAACCAACCCCTAGGGTTTAGGGCTTAGGGTTAAACCCTCAACCCTGCCTAAACCCTAAACCCTAAAACCCCCGAAAACCCTAACCCCTAAAACCCCCGGCATCGCATCTCCGGCGCGCTCGGCGCTCAGTCGTCACTCTTCTTCGGCTCGTCCCTTGATAGCTGCTCAAACCTCAACTCGAATGGGGCCGTAAGGCGCAAAGGAAAAGGGGTTAGGGCCTGGGGCGAGGGCAAGTTTCCGGCTTCTCTTGTTTCTTGTACTTCTCTCTCTCGCTAAACCCTAAACCCCAAACCCTAAACCCTAGACCCTCAACTCTCTCTATTTTGTTTTGGATTTTGTTGGGGTGTGTGGTCTTCGGTGCACGGAGGCATGGGAGTTGGATCTGTGGTTGAGGGCTGCTCAAACTGCGTAGGGTGCTTTCGTTGCCTGAACGAGGGCTTTAGGGTTTAGGGTTTAGGGTTTAGGGTTTAGGGTTTGGGGTTTGGGGTTTGGGGTTTAGGGTTTAGGGTTTAGGGCTTTTTTTTCAACTAGGCCTTTGCAAGCTGACCGCACCCATCAAGCCCGACCTATACGTGCCGAAGACAGCACACGCATACACACAAAGCCTGCCGGATGTTCCTAGTCGTCACGCCTATGCCCATG